TCCTGCTCAGGCTCCGCGAGTAGCTGGGGACTACAGGCGCCGCCACCATCCTGGCTAAATTTGTTTGATATTCTTAGTAGGACAGGGTTTACCGTGTTTAACGCCAGGATGGTCTGGATCTCCTGACCTCGTTGGATCCGCCGCTCCTGGGGTTCCAGAGTTGTGGATTACGGGCGTGAAGCACGCGCCGGCTTTTTTTTTTTTTTTTTTTTTTTTTGCGACCAGTTCGCCTGTGTCGCCCAGGCTGGAGTTCAGTGGTCAATCTCAGCTCACTGTTCAAGCCTCCAAGTTCAGCGGATTCTCCTGCCTCAGCTCGCCTCCGCAGAGCTGGGATTACAGGCACCCGTCTCATGCCGCTATTTTTCTATTTTTGTAGAGGAGCAGGGTTTCATATGTTGGCCGGCTGGTCTTGAGACTCCCAACCTCAGGTGATCCGAAGCTCCTCGGCCCTCCAAGTGCTGGGATTACAGGCGGTGACCACGCCCGCCCGCCAGGAGGTTCTTTTTTATGGAAAGACTACATAAAGCGTCGCAAGAACTGGAGTCCTTCGATGACGAGAAGGCAAAGTACTTTCCCCGGGGATAGATCAAGGTTTAAAATGTTCTGTTGCAGTGATGTTTGATACTAGTCTTTTTGAGAAGTGTGAAGAGGGACATCCAGGGAACCAGGAACGGAAAAGTCTGTCCCTAAATAGCAGGGCGTTGCTTGCTTCCACGGCACATGTATTAGCTTGGAACTGGCCGGGAACCGGTGGCTCACCGCCTGTAATGCCAGCACTTTGGGAGGCCGAAACGCGGACCGAGTCCAAACAAATACGCTAAACCGTGAAACCCTCTCTACTAAAAAATACAAAAAAAACATAGCGGCAAGTGGACGGGGCTGTAGTACCCAGCTACTGGGGGCTGGAGGCAGGAGAAATGGCATGAGACCCGGGCCAGGCTTGCGGTGAGCTGAGATCCGGGCACTGCATCCATCCTGGGCGGACGAGCTAGGACTCCTGCCTCACAAAAAAAAAAAAATTGGAACGTACAGAGGATTTAAGCATGGCGCCTGCGAAAAAGATAACATGAAAATTTGTGACATTTTCTGGCTGGGGATGGGGGGGTGCGCACGTGGCTCATGTCTGATAATCCCGACTTTTGGGAGGACAAAGCGGGCAGATCACAAGGTCAGGAGTGGAGACCGCTGTGGCAACATAGTGAACTCTCTTACTAAAAAACAAAAAAAAAAAAAAAACTAGCTGGGTGGTGGTGGGCACCTGTGTTCAGTACTCATGGAGGCTGAGGCGAGAATCGCTTTGAACTGGGAGTAGAGGTGCAATGAGCAGATCACACACTGCACTCGCCTGGGTCTCGGAGCGAGATCCCATCTCAAAAAAAAAAAAAAAAAAATTATGGCGAGCGTGGTGGTCAACTGACACAGGGGGGGCAGGACCATTTGGATCCCAGAGTTTGGACAACCTGGCCAACATGGGAAACCGCCAAAAAATAAAGTTAGCGACAGTGGGCACCGGTGATGGGAGGAGCTGAGGCAGGGAAAAGGGCGAGGGCAGAGGATGAATGGAGCGAGATGAGACTGAACTCATGGGGTGACGAAGTAAAAAAAAAAATGTGTTTAATATTTTATGTTGGGGTGGGGTGTTCTTTTATATCTGACCCCGAGGTTCTGTGTGTTGTGTTATTTATTGCTAACCTGGTAGTTGTGACCCTCTTTCGTGGTCATGGGGTCTGGATTCCAGTCTTCGAAACTTAGATTTTGTGTTTTCCCTGTTTTCATTCTCT